CGAGTTCTTTTCTCGCTTGATACTGTAATCCTTCAGAATAATTGCCGAGCTGTGTTTTTTCTGAGGTAAAAGAACCGGGCCAATATACTACGCAGTCTTGTGGTGTTACTGTCATGATCAATCCTTGTGCTCCTTCCAGGAGTATTCTTCTTGCCGAGCTCATCATGTTGTGAGTAGAGTTCTGATAAATAGATGCCGAATTATGTAGTCCGAAGATCTCTGAGTTCCTATGCGGAAGGTGTGGGTGAAAAGAACACGGCTCGTATCCCTTCACGATTGCAGTTGTATCTTGGAGTTCGATGAGGTGCGGTTCATGAGCTTTGAAGATTGTGTCTGATTCGGAGTCATGCTCCATCTCCTTCTCTATATCGGTTTCAGATCCATCTTCCTCTTCACTCCGAGTTGGTTCAAAAGTCGAAAGTTTTGTCATCTTCTCGGCGAAGTTCGGATTCAACTTTGTCGTTGAATTCTTTTTTCTTCTCGGCGACGAGTACGTGGTTTGCCATTGTCATCAGCCTTGCGAGATCCGGGATCCGAAGACGAAAGTTGTTCCCGCCGAAAAAGTCATCTTGAGGTCGAGGTCCGCCGAGCTCTTGAGAAAAATTCATCAAAAACCCCTACCTGGCGCGGCAGTTGTCGATGTTTTACCACCGATAGCCTGCCACGAGGGTACCCGGAACAGTTGTTCGGGCTTCGGCAAATAGTGGAACTCAGCGGTTACGCAAAGAGACTCACGATTTATACTGGTTTGGGCCCTCGACTTGGTCGAGTAATAACCTTACGTCTAGTCGGCGTTAGCTGTTTAAGGCGTCGTGTTGCTTTGAGTATTGAGTATGCGTTGTTTACATGTGATACCCTCAATAGCCCTTTATAGTCCAGGTGCTGCAGAGAGCTATTTGAGTACTACTCGGATACAAGGTTAGTGTCCTATGCTATGCTTCGGACATCTTTCCTTGTATAGTTCGAGTTGTAGATTTGATTCTGCACGTTGCTTTTGCTCTACGTTATCTTGATGATTGCACCGTGAGCCTTATTACTAAGGCCCACTTCCTTGTAGTACGGTCTATGGGGGGCCCATAGGGTTCCCCATCAACAGTTGCCCTTTTTGCATCAGTACAGCTCCTACCCCTTCAGAACAAGCATCTGTTTCCACTTGAAAGGGTCGAGTAAAATCAGGTAATGCCAAAACTGGAGTGGTAGTCATGGCTACCTTCAAATTGTCAAAAGCTTCTTGTGCCTGAGCTGTCCATTGAAAGGTCTTGAGCCTAAGAACCTGAGTCAATGGCTTAGCAATCACTCCATAGTTCCTGACAAATTTCCTATAATAACCTGTTAGACCAAGAAATCCTCTCAACTCAGTTAAATTAGTAGGAGTGGGCCACTTGAGCATGTCTTGAGTCTTTGATGGGTCAGTAGATACCCCTTGATCAAAAATGATGTGTCCCAAGTACTCTATACTTCTCTTTGCAAATGTGCATTTGGAGGCTTTGAGATAAAATTTGTTTGCCCTGAGAACCTCAAAGGCTTGCTGGATATGCTCCAAATGGTCTTCTTCCATATTCTTACTATATATCAAAATATCATCCAGAAAGACTAGGACAAACTTCCTTAGCAAAGATTGCAACAGTTGGTTCATAATGCACTGAAATGTGGCTGGTGCATTAGTTAAGCCAAATGGCATTACCTTGAACTCATAATGATCTTGATGTGTCTTGAAGGCAGTTTTATATTCATCCTTAGGCAGCATCCTAATTTGATGATAACCAGCTCTCATGTCTAACTTGGTAAAGAACTTGGACCCTGCCAACTCATCGAGGATTTCATCAACAACAGGCATTGGAAACTTGTTCTTTATAGTCATGGCATTTAGCTTCCTGTAATCCACATAGAAACGCCACTGACCATCCTTCTTTTTGACCAGCAACACAGGAGAAGCAAAAGGACTGTGACTATGAGTTATGAGACCAGCCTCTAGTAGTTGCTTAACTCGACTCTCAATTTCAGTCTTGTGCTGAGGTGAATAATGGTAGGGCCGAGCATTGACCGGAACAGCATCAGGAAATAGAGGAATGGCATGATCATAACTTCTGTGGGGTGGAAGACAGGTGGGATCCTGAAATATGTCAGCATATTGAACCAAAAGATCCTGGATGCCAGGTGATCTATCAGAAGGGGAACTAGTCTGCATAGGAGGATCAAGTGTAGGGAGATCCACTATTGCATAGGCCCAAATATCATTGCCTTTGATAGCTTTGTAGACTTGTTTCACACTAATTGTGTGGAGCTGCATGTTATCTTGTTGGAGACCCTGCAATGTGATCTGTCTGCCCTGATGCTGAAAAGACATATTCTTAGCTACCCAATCACAATTCATGGGACTCACAGTTTTTAGCCAATCAAAGCCCAGTATGGCATCATAGGGCAAAGTATCCAGAACCACCATATATGTTTGAAATGTATGGCCCTGACAATACCACTTCAGATCCTGGACCTGTTTTGTTGTAGTGACCACTGTGTTGTTAGCCATCTTCACCTTCTGAGCACCAATTGTTGTGGTAGGCAAGTTGGTCAGATGAGCAAACTGTGCACTCACAAAACTGTGTGTACTCCCAGAATCCACCAAAATGAGCATCGTTTTACCTTGAACAGTGGCTTTTAATCTGATAGAATCAGGTGCAGTAGTACCAGAAATAGCATTGAGGGAGAGTTGCAAAAAATTCTCAGTCAACATTTCATCAATTGCCATTTCATTGAGCAAGTCCTCATCAATATATATGTTTGTCCAGATCATTCAACACCATGGCATTCACCTGTGGCTTGGGCCTCTTGGCACAGTGCTCAGCATGGCCAGGCTCATATTTCTCCCCACAGTGATAGCAAAGGTTGTTGGCCTTTCTATAATCTCTTAGCTGTTTATCTCTCCAAAGAGTGCCATAATTGGTTGCTGGTTTGGTCTCATTCCTGACTTGAGGCTGCTTGCCCTGCCTGACTTGGTACTTTAGCCTATTCCTCTCAGTAGTTCTCTGGTGAATCTTTGCAATGATCATAGCCCTTTCCACAATGGTTGGGACCTGAGGTTCCACCACAGCCCTGATATCATCTCTAAGGCCTCTAACATACTGAGTAGCAAAGAACAAATCATCATGAGTAGAGCCATTCATACAAACATCATACTAGAGGGACTTGAACTGAGTTGTGTATTCTTCAACTGTTGCTGTCTGTTTTAGATCCAATAAATCATTCAATGCTGATCTGTAATCATCAGTACCAAACTGACTTTGCACTGCCTGCTGAAACTGGGTCCACTTAACATTAGTGTGTGTCAGCTTGAATGTTTGCCACCATTTTGCAGCATTCTCCTTCAGATGCACTGTTGCAGCTTCCACCCATAACTGCTCTGGAATTTTGTAGATGGTGAAATAATTTGTACACTTATCTAACCAAATCTTAGGCTGAACACCATCAAAGGTAGGGAACAAGAGCTTAGGCAATGCATGATGAGGTAAAGCATCAGACCTGTCATGATGATTGTGATGCCTATTTCTGTTGGAGTTTTCTAGTTTGGTCTTAGGGTGCTTCGAAGCAAACACATTCTCCATATTGGGATCCTCACCAGAGAATACTGACTCTTCACTGATTGACTTGCTATCCATCTCAAATTGCCTGAGCGTTAAACGAGCCACAGCCTCACCATTAGCTAAGACTTGTTTGGAGAGCTGGTACTGAGCGGTGGTACAATCATCCACCTTCTGATTTATGAGATTTAACTATTGCTTGACCTCCTGCTGAATCGCGCCCAAATCATTCATGCGCTGGGTCAACAGATTCAGAGTATCGAGTACCTCACCCCAATGAGCTGCATCAGTAGCATCAGTCGTCGCCATCCTATCCAGGATGAACTGTGTCTGCACTGAGGGCTGAAGAACTTTGCGTGGCGCCGTGATTGCAACCACAGAAACCCAACACCTGGAACTGAGGCACACGATCGAGGGATTTTACACGAAAGCAGTGCTCCGCAACCCAAATCTGTGGACAGTTCCCCGCCAACGCCACCACACTACAATCGATTCGTGATTACGGAATTTTACACAGGAACAATCGCCCTGCAACCCTGGTCACTAATCGATTGAGGCTAGAATTGAAGAGATGGTGAGCCAATAAGAACAAGCTCACAGTGGTTCTCGCCGCCGAACCCTAGTCAAGTCGATGCCGAACCCCAGTCAAGTGATGAGCCGTAGACGACGACGCTAGTGGAGATAGAACGCGTCGTCGGACCCGCCTTGTCACGCACGAACGGCTGCGCGTCGAAGGCGAACTCGAGATCCCGTTGCGGAACCTAGCTACCCCGCGTCGAATTTGTGGTGGAGTGGCCGCGAATCGAACCCTAGCAAAAGAATCTCGGGACGGATCAAGCGATGCTCGCAGGTTCGCCGGAGCGAGATGCGAGAACTCAATCCAGTTCACCGGAGTTCGCCGCTGTCAGAGGGGAGCTCGAAACGGGAGTGTGGGAGGGGACTTAGGGCCGAGGAAGGGTAGAGCTGATACCACTGTAACACCCGTTACCGCCGGCGATCGCCGGGACGTGAGCAGCCACAGATGGAATCGCCGCCGACGAGCAGAGGTCGCCTCTGTCGCGTGCGTTCTTCTATTACCAGTTTAAACTTGGTTCATTACATCCATGGGCTCAGCCTAAGTAGGCTCGCCCTCACTGGCATGATGGCCCACATGTCATCGACACTAATGCAATGAAAACAAACGTCTAAAGCAAACTACGTCTTCCCAGTAAAGAAACGCCATCCTCCTCTTGGGCCGTGGCGCCTGGTTGGGCCGTGACATAACCGCCGGCGCCTCAGCGGCTCCACGGTTACCGGCTCGTCCACTGCAAGAACCGTCTGTCGCTGCCTGCTGCTGCTGGCGACCGGAGATGGACGGGGAGGAAGAGAACATCGGGCCGTTCGTTCCGCCGGACCAGCGTCCGCACGCGTCGCCTGGCCACACGCATGGCGTCCGCGCTCGCCAGCTCTGACAATCGTGCCCAGGTAACGAGGGGATTTGACTGACCGTTCCTGTACTCCGGCTTCCCTTCTTCCTATTTCAAGCCGTTTCCCTCTCGTTCATGAAATTATTCCCCATTCACGTTTCGCTGCGTAGTTATGAATACCTCCATATCTGTAATGCCACGCAGGATGCTTTAGCTCGCCTTGAAGCTCTTGAGAGCGACAATTCTGAGGTTGAGGTGGTAGATCTTAAATTCACGGATGAGGAAGACCCTGGTCAGTTTGTTTCTCATTTATCTGGGAAAAAGTCTACTTAATCCCTCAACTATGGGGCGTGGACTACGTAACCCCAAACTATGAAACGGTTTAATTTACCCCCTAAACTTTTTAAAACCGTCTATTTTATCCTCAGGTTGTTTTGAACAGCAGTTGCTACAGTCCCGGCATGTTGCTACAGTGCGGTGTTTTTTTTTTCTTTATTTACTTATTTATTTTCGCTAAATCTTTGAAAAATCATAGTAAATCACAGAAAAATCATAAAATAAAAACTCTAATTTTGTTGGATTCCACATGAGTAGATCTACATATTGAACATATAATATGATACGCTTTAGAACTAAGTTTTTGCTGTAGCTTTAGGATTTTTCAATTAATTTAAAGCTACAGCAAAAACTTTGTGCTAAAGCGTACCATATTATATGTTCAATATGTAGATCTACTCATGTGGAGTCCAACAAAATTAGATTTTTTATTTTATGATTTTTCTGTGATTTACTATGATTTTTCAAAGATTCAGTGAAAATAAATAAATAAAAGAGAAAAAGAAAAACCACCCGCACTGTAGCAAACCCGCAGGCACTGTAGCAAACCCGCTGTTGACAACCGTCCGGGGATAAAATAGACGGTTTTGGAAAGTTTAGGGAGTACATTAGATCGTTTCATAGTTAGGGGTTAGGTAGTCCACACCCCATAGTTGGAGGGTGAAGTAGACTTTTTCCCATTTATCTGCATACTAGTTATGCCATGATGTGAGAAAGGATAAGGTAGATACAGTAATAAAAACTGAATGACAAAATGATACTCTTTGCAAACGTCAAGTACTGAATACAGATACCTTGTGCACGGTATATATTTCTGTATTTTTATAATGCTTGTAGTATCAATTTTGAAAAAATGGCTTTATTTGTTGTCTTTGCAAATGATTCAATAAATAATAAGATTAAACCATCCTTGAAAGGCAATAGTTGAAAGATGCTTAGGACTGCTACATTTGCATCTGATGCTACCAGCGATGTGCCGGACGGGCTATCCAGTGTTGAGGCGGGAAGGCTGAAGCGGGCTAAGTCCAAGAGCACTCGGGTGTATGGGACGGATTGGGTCAATGTGTAGACTAGCTGATCGAGTGTGGCTGTGTGGCGTGTGTGCGTGAGTCTTTGTTATATATAGGAAGGCACCAGCGTGGACAAGGGGTAAGAAATATTGTAACCAAACCAAACTATCTGAACTACTGAATCATTCGTCTGTCCTCGCCCTATTGCTCTGCTTCCCTGCTTGATTCCGATCTTCTGTTCCTCTTCCTACCTGTGCTGCTAACACTCCTGTCTGCACCAGTGGTATTCCGAGCCCGCCCCCTTGCTGGATCCGAACCGGGCTGTGGGTTGCCGCAATGCTGGTGCTAGGTGATTTCCCATGCTTGCAGATGAAACGTTAGGTGGCTGAAATTATTTTTAGGTGAAACGATAGTTTGATTTTGTTGTATTTTAGGTGAAATTGGGGTTTTCCTTTGTTGATGTGAAGAACAGTAAAGGTATACATACTTTACAGACAAAAGAAAAAACATTAGGTTGTTGAGTTACTGAACCCATCCTAATTTAGTTTATTAGGTTGTTGGGTTTTAGTGCTTTAGTGTTGTGCTTTTGTGGAATAATCTTCCAACTGAATGACTTTTTTTTTTTTGAAACATAGTGTTCTGTCTTTTAGTTCTGCTGTGGTCTGTGGAGCATTTTAACATACCATTCCAGTTAAGATTAAGAGCGTCAAAAGTGAGTGCTTACTTGCAGACTTGCAGCTACCTTGTCTTAGGTTACTTGCATCAATTAGTTGAGCGTTTATCCAACAAAGTATGATCCACGTGGTGACATGTTGCTCAAGTTGTAGTATACAGGTTGTTGTTGAGAAACTTCTATGCTAGCTATATGTTTTTAAGGAGTAGAAAGGCTGGATCTGTTGCTTCAAACATGGCTTAGTTACAGCTATTGATCACTTATAGTTATGGCCTGCCATGTTTCTGTATTGGGCTTTTTGGAGGAGAATTTGATGTAATCTGGAAGCTGTGACCTCATTTCTCTCAGGTGGTCATTTTCGTTATTGTCTTCAAACATGACTTAGTTACAGCAATAGTATTTTTATCCATTAGCTTGTGATTGGATACTGACGTTCAAGATAGAGCCATCTACAGTATAAATAAGGATTGATTTGATGGAAGCCATTAGCAAGGGCATTTTTTTTTTGTTGATTCAAACCATATTTGGATTTTTGTGCTTGCTGTTCTGTTGTCAGTGCGTATACTGTAGTTTCTGAAACAGATGGTAATGGACCTACTGCAACATAGTTCAGATCCTCAGTATACGCTCAGTCCCTTCTAGTTTTCTTGAACTCAACGTTATTTTGATTTATCTTTTATATCAGTTCTTCAGTGTGTTTTTGATTTGTTCCTGTCCGTGTTCTTCTGTTTTGTCAATATTTAGAGTTTCAGTGTCTGGATTCTGTGTAGTTAGAGCAGTTCTGTGGTTTTTTTCTTGACACTTCAGTTGAGCAGGACTTCATTTTTCAGAAGATCGGCAGTAGTAGGCAGCTATCCTGAGGCAGCATAACCCGTTTTCAGCAAATAGCCTTGTGAATCGCCATCCCCTTTGCTGCTAGCCTGCTACAGTGTTTGCTTGCTTGAGTCGTTGCCTATTTCTGCTAGCCTGCTACAGTTTTCTGTAAGTCAATGTGATTAGTGCTAGTTCTCTTTTCTCTCTCTCTCTCTTGATTTGTGGTATTCATGTGCCTTAGGGTTTTCTGGACTGTGCTATAGCAGTGATTCGCTTAGTATTAATGCTTTCAAGTTTTTCAGTGTATAATATCCTGTCTTTTCCTCTCATCTTTTGTGTTTTTCTCGAGGAAAAAAAACACTTCCAACTGTCTTTTTTTTTTTACAACAAACTTCCAACTGTCTTGATGCTTCTAAGAAATTCCAAACCATTCCTATGCAAAGCATATGGATTAGAAAAGAGGCTCGTCCAAACAGAATAGTCATATAGGCCACATTCTTTTGAATAATTTTAATTGTTGAATATGAGGAATATTACTCTCTCATATGTTTTATTTCAGTTTCCTGGCTTTTAGCTTCAGTTTCATGGATGCATTAGCGGATGGGTAGCTGTATTTCTGTTTTAGATCCATATATCAGTTTACAGTACCTGAGCTGAGTCTTCCAGTTTAGTTATTTGTTTTTTCTAGTTTTTTTTCTTCAGTTTTAGTTTAGGGTCTTGTTTAGTTCCAAACTTTGGAGACACCAGAAATACTGTAGCACTTTCGTTTGTATTTGTCAATTATTATCCGATCATTGACTAATTAGGCTCAAAAGATTCGTCTCGCAAATTACAAGCAAACTGTGTAATTAGTTATTTTTTACCCACATTTAATACTCCATGCATATGTCCAAAGATTCGATGTGACGGGGATGTGATGGAGAATCTTGTACAGTTTTTGGATTTTGGAGAGGAACTAAACAAGGGCGGGGCTAGATTTCAGGGTACCTAGTGACGGCATCCATTGTCAAAGGATTGGAATGTTTTCCTTAGCCTGTGTGCTTGCTTGTCTTTTTTTTTCTCGATGTATCTATTGACGGGCACTCCAAAGGTGGTGGCCTTCGGAAAGCAGTGGATGACGGCGTCCAGGCCCAAACGCTCTCAAAGCAAGATTTCGAAGCTCCCTTGGATTTTCCCTGGAACTTGGTCCAGTGGACCAGTGAACTAGCTGTAGCACTACCGGAAAAACGTCCTTTGCCGAGAGCCACGATTTTTGCCGAGAGCAAAAACGCGGGCTCTCGGCAAAGAAACCGTTTGCCGAGCGTGGCTCTCGGCAAACACGGGCCGTCGGCAAGTGACAAGATTGCCGTGGGCCTGCATCTCGGCAAACAACAACTCTCGGCGAAGTGGGCCCTTTTGCTGAGAGCCCTGCTTGGCAAAAAATGCCCGTCGGCAAAACGGGCCTTTGCCGTGGGCCGCGCTCTCGGCAAAATCAGGCTCTGGGCAAAACATTGCCGTGGGCCCATAGCCGTGACCTGCCCTGACGGCGTCACCGCTTTGCCGAGAGCCCCTCCGTTACGGCTCTCGGCAAAACTCTTTGCCGAGCGCCGCTTTCGGCAAATATTTGCCGAGAGCCCCTCCCACGCTCTCGGCAAATGTGGTTTCTATATTTCATGTGCATGTGTTTCTCTTCTCCTAACTCTCCCCAATTAAATTATTTTTTCTTTCATATGCTCCAAACTTTTTTCTCTATACACATACTACAGGTTGTACTCAATATTAAAATTTTGTGTATTTTGTAATTATTTGCTATATATAATTAATTAATTACATTTCAAGAAGTTTTTTTAATCGATTAAAATTTGAACAGCGATTGATTTAAACACGGGAAAAAATTAAGTAGAAAATGATATTCATGCTATTTATGCATTATTGAGGGCAAATAACATCTTGTTGACATTTTTTTCACCTTTTATTTTACGAATTGAAGACCACGAACATATGTCGCCGAACGATTTAAAAATTCTTAAAAAAAGGAAACGAAGTCGGAAAATTGTGATATTTGCAATGAAGTCATGGTATCACACTTGGAGGCTGTGGTAAAAAATTGAAAATGTTTCGCACAAGTGGTTGTGTATGATTCTTATAATCTGAGACATCTCCGAATAAGTTTCATAAAGTTGAGAAGGATCCATTAGGATTTTCAAACAATGTCACGGTCGAATTAGTTTTGGAGTTTCAAACTTTTTGTATAGCCATTAGAGAGCATAAGTTGTAACACGGCAAAATTTCGTATTTTTTCGGAGCCGTTTGTTATTTATTAATTTTTTTGGATATTCTTTGCCGAGAGCTTCAGGGGATTGCTCTCGGCAAAGGCTCTTTGCCGAGAGCAACTGGGCCTGCTCTCGGCGCAGATTTCATTTTTTTTACCTAGCCTGGATCAATGGTTTGCCGAGAGCTGGCTCTCGGCGAAGAGGTTTGCCAAGAGCTGCTCTCGGCAAAGATTTAATTTTTTTTAGAAATATCATTTTTTGTTCAGTTTGTTAGATGAATAAAAAATATTTTAAAAAAACTTTTCTTTGCCGAGAGTAGCTCTCGGCAAATAATATTTTTATTTTTTTAAATATTTTTTTGTGCAGTTAGCTAGTTAAAAAATTCGAACGAAATTTGAAAAAAAAAATAACTTTGCCGAGAGCCGGATCTGGGGGCTCTCGGCAAAGGGGGAAGGTTTGCCGAGAGCCTCCCAGATCTGGCTCTCGACAAAGTGGCTTCACACACTTAACCGTTTCGGCGCCTTATCTCTCTCACTCTTCACCCACACACTCACACACGGCCGCCATGAGGCCTCGCCCAGCTCGGTGTGCCACATGCCATGAGCCTCGCCACGCCAAAGCCCCCTCTCGCCAAGAGCCCATAAAGCCCGCTCCGGCTCGCCCCAGCCACCACGCCTGCCCACGTGTTGCCGCCGCCCACTCACCCGAGCCTCGCCACCCCCGAGCCACCCACGCCGCCACCCCACCCCAGCCATCCACCCCATCCCACCACGTCCGCGCCACAAGACGCTGCAAGGCCAACCCCCTAGCCCCACCACCGCAGCCGCGCGCCCATCATCCATCCCTCCACAGGCCCGTCCAAGCCAAGCCAGCCCCCCAGCCACGCCGCCCGGCCACGGTCGCGCCCTCGCCATCGCCAAATCGCCGTCGCCACCCTCCTCGTCCTCCCCCTCGGGCTCGTCCTCGCCCGCTCCCTGACTCACCCTCGCGCGCGCCCCGACTCGCCCTCGTCCTCGCCCGTGCCCCTCCTCGTCCTCGCCCTCGGGCTCGTCCTCGCCAGCGCCCTGACTCGCCCTCGCGCGCGCCCCGACTCGCCCTCGTCCTCACCGTCGCCTCGCCCTCGGCCTCATCCTCGCCGTCGGCCTCGCCCTCATCCTCGCCGCGGAGAGGAACAAGGTATACTAAGTAGTATTAGTGGTAGTAGTAGTTAGTAGTTGTAGTAGTAGTCTAAGTAGTACTAGTGGTAGTAGTAGTAGTTAGTAGTTAGTAGTTAGTAGTTGTAGTAGTAGTTAGTAGTTAGTAGTTGTAGTAGTGGTAGTAGTAGTGGTAGTAGTAGTGGTAGTAGTAGTTAGTAGTTGTAGTAGTGGTAGTAGTAGTTAGTGTAGTAGTAGTTGCATTAGTTAGAGTAGTAGTTGTAGTAGTGTTATTAGTAGTTAGTAGTTGTAGTAGTGGTATTAGTAGTAGTTAGTAGTTAGTAGTTGTAGTAGTGGTATTAGTAGTGGTAGTAGTAGTTAGTGTAGTAGTAGTTGTAGTAGTTAGAGTAGTAGTAGTTGATAATTAAGCTGCATGTGGTTCCTTGATATATATGTGGTTGTCGGCCATCGTGACGTGGGTTTCTTTCAGGTTTGGAAACCTCACCGTTTAGGGGAGATGCTGCCAAATTTTTGAGTTGACGTTATTTTGCTTCTTTCTTTCTTTTTGCAGGAGCCGAGTCGGAGTACC